ACAGAATCTGAAGTAGAAAATCTGGAAACATCTTTTGATGAAACAAGATCATTAGCAACACTTGACAAAGCCCTGCAACTTTCAAATGATATAAAAACCTTTATAACCACTACTCTTACGCAAGATGAAGGAGGTAAAAATAGTGCTGCTATAACACAGCTTCAAGGAGAACTGAGTAAGTGGCAACAAGTACAATTGATTAAAGAAGAATCAATACAAACAGTTCTTGGATTCTTTGAATCTGTGAAAGTTCTGTCAACGGAGTTTGGTTATGCTGGCTTAACTGAACTTACTGGAACTATTGATTCTGTCCAAGAAGCGATAAATGGAGAAATAACAGCAACTATGGAAGCTAAAGAAGAATCAAAAGCATCCGCAACAATTGAATCTGCACAAACCTTGATAACAGAGAGTAAAACTACACTGTTGCAATTACAGGAGATAACTGATGGTTTTACAGAAGAAGTGGCATCTGAAGAAGTAAACAGTTGCATTGATATGTTTAACCAGCTGATTTCCGACGGTGTATCTGAAGGTCTTGTCAGCGAGCTTGAAACTGCACTCGAGGAACTGAAAGTTTTTGTAACTAGCTTTGACGCCAGTTCCGAAGTGGGCGTACTACGTCTGCAGGAGTCCATAGATCTTGCTACAGAAGCCAAGGAGTCAATTGACAGACTAATTGATCAAGCTGCAGCAGAGGAAGACAATGACGTTGTGCTTCTCACAGATGCTCAGTTGCAGGTGACAGAATTACTTTCTCTTCTCGGGCAACTAAGTGCAGGAGAGACTGAAGAAAAAAATAATGGAATTGATGAAGTAAAAGAATTAATTGTAGAATTAAAAGAAAATGTAGGGGCAATATCAGAGGAAACTATTCAGATGTTGATAACAATGAATGCAAAAATATTAAACATAGTTACATTAAAAGAGGATGCAGTAACCATAACTGGATTCTCAAGTACATTACAAGAAGTAACTGAGGAGACATCCGAACTACAGTCCATTATTGAAGAAGCTCTTGCTGAAGAACAGGGGTTGGCTGATATGTTAGGTTTGGCGTCTGTTATAGAAAATGGAAAAGTTGAAGTTGAAAAAATTGTAGAAATTACAATAAGCATCCAAGAGTTTGTAACAATCGGCACAGATAATACGGAAACCATAAACGGTTTTACGGCGACACTTGATGGTATCACAGACGTGTTGCTTGTCACTCCAGTAACCGTCCAAGAACTAAAGGATATTGTGAAAGAACTTAAAACTATTAAAGAAAGTAACACAAAGCCTGATAATATCGATGCTTTAAAGATGGCTGCTGAAGACGTAGCAGAAGCATTTGAAGAGTCTTCGTCTGCAATCCAATCTGAAATCGCAAGTAAACAAACCATTAAGATAACAAAAATAGTGGAGAAAACACTGGAGGATATAAAAATGAGCTTTAGTGAACTCATCGATAGCTTTACTGCTGAGCAGCTAATTGGTGAAGATATTGAAGAACTCAATAAAATAACTGAAATTGCCAAGATTATCAGTTCAAACACAGATTCAGCAACTAAAGAAGATGTTGCTTTGCTGCAGGAAACCTTTGCTGCTGCTCAAGAGAAATTGAGTCTTCTCAGCGGTGAGCAGGGTGTCGGTAATCTTGTGGCTACCCTGACTGCTGTGGAAAAAGCAACAGAATCTTCAATGAAAAGACTCTCAGAATTAGAAGATTTGAAAGAAATTGAAATGGAGGAACAGAGTCTAGAGAAAATATCCTTATTACTTCAAGAAGTTAAGACTGAAATTGATTCCAAAATTACAGCAATTGGAGATATAACTACGACTGACTCAAATGAAGAAGTTGCAGAAATAAAAGGGCTCAAAGAAATAATGGAAGAATATATCTCCAAGGTCTTTGAAAAGACTGATACCGATCTTCAGACCACCTTAGATCAATTCAAGGGTATTACAGTCACAGCAGGCCAGGAAATATCAGGATTATTTGACTTACAATCTATGACATTGCAAGCAACTGCTGTTGTTGAGGAAGAGCAACAATTCATTATGACAGCAAAGGACAGTCTCAATGAAAAGACCATTTTAAGCCAAGCGTCAACAGAACTAACGGCCCTTCAACTGGAGTTTACATCCCTGAAGACCTTCTTTGAAGGTAATCAGGAGGAACAAGCTACGCTGTTTATTATGGAGGATATTAAAATCCTTTTGAGCGAAATGGAGTCAACAGAGGCCATAACTTTTGATACAGTAAAGGAATTGAAAAGATTAAACAAAGAGCTGACTGTGGCTTACACTTTGTCTAATATAGATACAGGAATATTTGAAGAGGTAGAAACTCAGATATCGTCGATAGCAGAGAATATAGAAGAATCATTGCAAGAAATTGCAGTAACTTCTGAAGAGAGGGCAACTGTCACTACTCTGCAGGCCAGTAGCAAAGTCATATCAAAGGTAAAATCTGTATTCGAATTAATCAGTGTTGATTCTGCTACTGAAGACAATGCTGATATAGAAGCCTTTGTAGCACTGCTCACTGGTATACAAGAAGTAGGCAGTGTAAATGCTGTACAGCTCAAAGAAATGAAACGTCTAGAAGAGGCATTCACAAAATTAGAAAGCATTAGTGAGCAAGATGTAACTCTAAAGGATGACGCCTTGAATCTGATGGAGGAAGTTTCAGTTATTATCAGTGAAGAATTATCATCGACTCAAACGGCAGTAACAATTACAGCCAAGTCTGCTGTTCTGAACAAAGCAGCTGATGCCATGAAATCTATTGTCGACATAACATCTAAACTCATATCAGAAATAGGTCTAGCTACAGAGGAATCTCCAAATGAAGATGTTGCTAGCTTGATTACTGCAATCCAGGAAATGTCAATTACATCTCTCACTATTGAACAAATAACTCAAATAGAAACATCAACTGAGAAGTTAATGGCTATCACAGTTACTGAGGGTAATGGAATCACAGATTTGTTAGTTCTCAAATCTGTAACAGAAACTAAGCTGCAAGAACTATCTAGCAATGATGCCGTCCTGGGAAAAACAAAGAAGGAGACTACAAGCTTAAAATTTGTTACAGCTGTTGAAACTGTTGTTAAAAATCTCAAAAAGGAACTTACCGATATTCTGGACAATTCTGAAGTATCAGGTTCTGATGTTAGTAGTGTTATTACAGAAATAGCCGATATTCTTGTCGACGATGTAGGTTCAATGACAGTTCAAGAAGTCGAGGAATTAGAGGAGAAGTACAGTACCTTAGTACTTATTAAAACAACAATTACTGGAGGTGCCGAGGCTATATCTGATGTTGTAAGCACCCTTTCAGTTTTGCAAGAAAGCGTCATGGAAAAGAAATCAGAGATCGAAAAAGGTCAGCGAAAGAATTCCCAAATTGCCATTTTTATGGAAACTGAAAGCACTCTGACAAAAATATCAGAAATGACATCAAATATTTTGGAGATTGGTGAAGAAACTGCAGAGAGTGAAGAAAACGAAGATGTCTTATCACTGATCAAAAGTCTGACTATGTTTGAATCTAATGTGCTTGGAATAACAAAAACAACTTTGGGAGAATTGAACTCAAAAATGTCTGTATTGCAGACTTTGGTTGCTCAAAAGAAAGTTGTTAAAGGTATAACACAGCTTTCAGACTTGAGTTCCACAGTCCAGAGTACAGTTGCAGGCGAAATTAGTATGATTGTTGCGGATAATACGAAAAAAGATGCCATTGAAATTAAACAGAAATATCAGGAATCTGTCATAAGTCTTAAGCAAGTGTTTGAAGATATTCTAGTAGCTGTGGGTGATGGAAGTGATGGCGAAAGTATAGAGTCAGAAGAAATAACACAAGCAACAACTATTCTTAAAAAAATAAGCGACTCTTCTGCTACAGAAAAAGAACTACAGACATTGGATGACCTTATAGTTGTCCTACAGGAGAGCACTTTTGAGCAGGGAACGATCATAACTAACTTAGAAAGTGCCATTACTCTTGTCAATGACATAGATGAATCACTGGCAGGAGGTCTTACAGAAGACGTCTTTGATTTATCATATGCTGATGAGTTATTCACCAAGAAAGAGGAGGTTGCTTTACTTTCACAAGCTGAATCCATGTTAACGTCTACATTAACCGAAGGAGCGGATATAAGTGACGAAGCATTTGACACAATATTAGAAAGCATGAAGGAAATTAAAGAACAGGCATCCAGCATCATGAGTTCATCTTTCAGCACCTCTCTTGACAAACTTGTAACTGGAAGTGCAGACATGACGAAAGAAAAGAAAGTTGAAGGGCTAAAGACTTTGCAGCGAATGTTAAGTTCTGCCATAGTTACACAGTCATTAAGTATTTCTCAAGGTTCAGCTTCCGAGTCTAGTGGAGCTACATTTGAACTGATCAAAAAAGCAGAAGAAAAACTTTCAGGCATTGAAGTTCTTCTTGCCAGTATAAAAGAGAAAGTCAGTGCAAGTGGTGGTTCTGGTACATCCATGGAGCTTGTTGAATTTACAAATTTCCGAAGCTTCTTACAAGGAGGAGCATATGATTCCGAGGACATTGCTTTCATGACGTCATTCTCAGAAGTTTTAACCAGTGTAATTAGTAAACTTGAAGAAGGGGAAGTTTCAGAAATAATGATGCTCGATGACCTAATGATAGCAGTGAAGGAGGAAAAGGCAATTGTTTCCAATGAAGTTATAACAGCAAAGCGAAATGTTATTAAAGAAAAGCAGAGTGTGTATTCTGAAGCTGCATGCAAAACAATAAGGAATAATTATCAGTCAGTCCTAAGTTTAGCAGCAGAAGCCTCGGGGGATATAAGTGAAATTGCAGAAGTTACAGAGTTCTACTTTAAACTGCAAAAGATTGATATAGCCACCATGAGCGCCGTCGAAATCAAGATGATAGAAGAAGGTATGGCTAGCATTATTAGCAGTATTTCCACAGCACCAGGCGGTGTTGCCTTCCTGAGCAATATAATAGAGACATTGACATTCATAGATGTTAGAGGTGCAGAGGTTGTTGGGCGAAAGCAGGCAGTAGGAAACAACAAAATCATAGAAAAATCACTTGGAATGGCTGAGGAAACCTTACAGACTTCATTAGAAGACCTTATGAGTGTACAGGCAACAATTGGAGTATTGTCAGAGGATGCAGAGTATACTGAAGATACAACTGTGACTGACGCATATAACTTGCTTGTCCAATACTCTGCTGATCTAAGACTTGTTTTGGACTTTGGAGATTTACTTGGAGCCATAGACTTTAAGGCGATAACTGGAACCAAAGGAACAGGTATTAAATACTTTAATGAGCTAATCAGTCTTACTACTCAATACATAACTGCCTCACAACAGTCCAAGGAATTTGTTGCCCAATCTGAATCAGTTGATCAGAGTTTCGAACTTGAAAGCTCCATAACTCGATGCATGGATGCCCTGGAAGGGTTTGCATTTGGAGCCACAGGCAGTACTGGAGACACAGAGGAAACTACAGATACAGGAGAGGAAGATGAAGGAACGGGTGGAACTGGAGACACAGGAGAAAGTACCGATACGGAAGGGGAAAATGGAGGAGAAAGTGAAACTGGAGATATGGATGGAGCACTTGACTCATCACAAGACAGATAGAATATTTTAACAGTGTCTTTGACATGGTCAGTGAAATTACTTTGGGGAGTATGAGTATTGAGACCTTAAAAACCTCTGAAACAGTAACTTTAATCGAAAAATTCCTTACAGGAGATATAAATTCAGCTCTTGCAAAGATTGAAGCTACTCAAATAAGTGAATTTTTAAATAGTCTGACTACAGTAAAGGCGTCTGTGTCGGCAGATATTAAGAGCAAAGAATCTAAAACTGCAACAATGAGTTCCTTTAACATCGCAGAAGAAACAAGTAATACCTTGAACACCTTAAAAAGTAGCATCAACAGGATGTCTAGTAAGAAGGGAAGTAGCGACATAGCTGATCTCTTTGCGGAACTAGAGGCCTCATTAAAGAAAGTGACAAATGTATTCTTAGTATCAAACGAACTTCTTTCTGAAATTAGAACCATCACTTTCCAATTAAGTGCTGCCAGCACATCTGAAGGAGATACTGATATTGGGGATGTGACTGATTTATTGACTACTATTGATTCAGTCCAAAGTATAGTTCAGACTGCAGCATCGTCTCAGTCAGCTTTCTTGACAGCCATGGAGACAAGAGATGGTAATGGAGGAGACATTGGTGGTACGGATGGAGACACAGGTGGCACTGGTGGAGACACTGGTGGTGCGGGTGGAGACACAGGTGGCACTGGTGGAGACACAGGTGGCACTGGTGGAGACACTGGTGGTGCTGGTGGAGACACTGGTGGTGCTGGTGGAGACACTGGTGGTGCTGGTGGAGACACAGATGATGAAATTGGGTCATCATTTGGGTTGCCATTGTTCTCAGATGTAATTATCCCAGAGAGTACTTTGAGAATAACACAACAAGCCTTTATAAGCTCACAGTTAAAACAGCTCATGGGAGATGTAATGACAGAGCTTGAAGCCCTAAAGAATGGTGGTGGTTCTGGGAGTTCAGGGTGGGATGAGAAATGATCAGGTCAGAAGGAGCAGGTGGAACGAACACGGATGATTCAGGTATTTCAAGTGAGGCGGTCATAAGCAGAGTAAATATAATACTGCAGGATGCTACTACTAACATAAACAATCTTCAGTACAGTACTCTGATGGCTTGCGGTGAGGTTATTGGGGAACTGCGTATGCTTGGTGAAACAGAGGGTGTTGTGGTAGATACAGCAGCTATAGATGCCACTCTCACAGCTATTGAGTCTACTGAACAGACTCTCCAGGAATCTGTTGAACTGCTCTCTAGTGCTGCCGATGCAAGTAGTAGTGTTCTTGTTACTCAAGAATCTTCAACATTTATAGCTAACATGGAAGTTCAGTTCCAAAGCTTTGTAGATGCTGTTGGGACTGTGACAGACGAATCATCTGTTATAGAGGATCCAATCCTGTTGGAACAGGCTACGTTGTTCTCAAGTTCATTAATTAAACTTAGTTTAATGAGTACTACCATCTCACAGGAAATACTTCAAGACCTTAAATCCAGTTCTGAAATTCTGTTCACATCTGACCTTGTGGAAAATCCTCGATTTGTACCTGATCTAAAAGCTGCCGCATATTTTGTGTTAGATTCAGACATTTCATTAAGTCAAGTCATTGGAGGCTTTGCAGTTGGAAGCACTCTGCAAAAGTCACAGACACAAGGAAAGTTATTCGTTAGTAAAGGAGCTCAAACAATACTGGAAGAATTTAGTGTTGCTATGACTGGAATAAAGGAAGCAGGAGGTACTACCGATCCAGACCCTGAAAATGCCTCAGTGTTACAAATGAAGAAGATCATACAAGATTCTATGAATATTCTAGGAGAATGGACCTCTGGAAACATTGAAGAATACCAACTAGAAATGTGTAGAGGCTTCTTGCGGGAGCTTCCTAGCCTCACAGCTTCCCTGGAAGATTTTGCTCCACTACCTGAACTTGAAGACTTATCCGTTGAGATGGAGGCTGCTACACAGTCCATTACCACGACAATAGAAAGGATAAATAGCGAGGAAATAGAAGATCAGGAAGATGCTGATACTGATGGTGTTTTTATGTATTGTGGTCAGCTAGAGTCATTTACTGGGGGCATTGTTGATATTGATGAAAATGGAAATGAAGTAGAGCTACAAGAAGTAGATGCTATGTTAACATTCTTACAAGACGTTTCAGCTGATCCTCTCAGTATTGATATGGCGTCCGTGCAAGGTACGGTACAACCTTTTATGAACGTTATGCAGGGAGTAGAAGCAGGCACTTCAGTTAAAAACTACAAAAAAGTTACACAACTTTTAGGAGACATAACTGAATCATTAGCATCAACTAGGCAATCTACCATATTTACAAGAGCTGGAGAAGCTGGTCTGGCAGTGATGGGAGGTATTCCATATGGTGGAATTGGTGAAGAAAGCAACGCTCTTACTGCTGTATTAGAGGTCCAGGAACTAAGTATGATGGTTAGTTCTATGACAACCAGTACATTCTCATTATCAAGAGGGTTAGTTCGAGAATTGTCAGCAGCAGCACCTAAGCTACAAATGGCAATTGGAACATATAATGGAAACATAGCATCCCTTTCAATACTTGAAGAGAATTTGGCAGTCTTTTCAAGATCAACAAATAATTATGCTTTCTATACAACACAAGAATATGTTTCCACGAGAACATTCCAGATTTTAGAAGAATCAGCAAGCATTATTGCGGCTGCCACAACTGCCCTAAGAACACTCACAATGAGCATGGGCAGTGTAGTGACATATGAAAGTAATGAACAGATTTCCATGGCCTTTGAAATGTTATCGCCATTTGCTGCTGACTTATCCACTCTTCCGCTTGACCTTAAGACACAGCTAGAGGAAATCGATTTCAGCAGCGTGACCTTGCCTGAGAGTGAAGATACTGGTATCGAGAAACTATTAGAGGTTTATACCATAATGAATGGTCTCAATGAAGCCATATCGAGTTCAACCTTAAACACCCAGTATTTGGAATCCTTAGCTAAAACTACACCGGCAAATGATGCAATGACAAGCATTATCAACAGCCTGACAAGCTTTATGACCATTCCTAGTGAGGATGGTGATGATAGTGGAAATGATGGCGATAGCGAGGGAGGAGATAGTGAAAATGATGGCGATAGTGAGGGAGGAGATAGTGAAAATGATGGCGATAGTGAGGGAGGAGATGGAAGTGATGCTGATGGAGATGGATCAGAGGGTGATGGAAGTGGAGGCGATGTTGAAGTAGACGTTAATGCAATAATTGCGGATGTTAAGGCAGCATCAGGCAACTTATTTGCAAATGGACTTGTGATGCCAGAAGGGGACGTAGAAACGCTTATCGCTGCCAGTGAAACACTGAGCACCATCTCCCCAACAATGGGAGCTGAGCTTGCAGACATACCTAGCTTGATTTCTGAATTATCTGCAACATCTACTCAAGTGAGCCAAAGTGTGCGTGGGTATGGGACAGCAATTCAAAATAAGTTAATGTATTCCAGTATTGAAGATATAGCTACCGTGTCCACTCTAATAAAATCAGCAGTCAGTGTAGGTGTTCCTGCTGGTGCTCAGGACCTTGTTGATTCTATGGTTACACTCTTTAAAACTTTCGTAATGGGTTCAGCTTTTATCTCTCAAGAGGATGTTGTTTCCGTAAAAAGTCTAGCATACCAATTCAGTGTTATGGCTGATGGTAATGCTGGTGTAGATGTTACTGAGTTGATGGAGCTTATTGATCAGACAGAAACTGTGCTGCTGGCAACGCAAGGTTTCCTATCTTCGCAACAATTATTCTTTAATAGTATGATGGAAGAAGAGTTCGATATGGAGGTAAATAAGGCCAAATCAGAACAAAATTCTGCCTATCAACAATACTACTTCCTTAGTGCCATGGACAGCCTACTAACATCTCTCACTGGCAATCTAACAGGATTGATTGATGCAGGAGGAAGTGGCGAGGAAATGAACAAATCGTCATTAACAAGCATCCGCGCTGCTCTCACTACTGCTAGTGCCGATATGGGATCTATGGACATGAACCTTGTTAGTGGGATTGGAATGTCCTTAATTGGCATCCAAGAGGCGCAAACCAGCGGGTTATCTGTCGATGTAACAGAGGTTGAGAATCTTCGTAGTTTTGTGGAATCTGTCCAAGTAACATTCAATGATGAAAGTAGCATGATGGAAGGCTATGGAAGAACCATTACAGATGTTTTCGCGGCTCAAAATGCTCTAAATACTCTGGACGCATTTGAGAGTGAAACTAAGATTTGGTTCGGTGAAGGAGATGGAGCAGATTCATCAGGTGGAGATTCAGGCGATGGAGCAGATTCATCAGGTGGAGATTCAGGATTCATCAGGTGGAGATTCAGATGGAGCAGATTCATCAGGAGATTCAGGTGATGGAGCATTCATCAGGCAGATTTCATCAGGTGGAGATTCAGGCGATGGAGCAGATTCATCAGGTGGAGATTCAGGTGATGGAGCAGATTCATCAGGTGGAGATTCAGGCGATGGAGCAGATTCATCAGGTGGAGATTCAGGTGATGGAGCAGATTCATCAGGTGGATTCAGTGATGGAGCAGATTCATCAGGTGGAGATTCAGGCGATGGAGCAGATTCATCAGGTGGAGATTCAGGTGATGGAGCAGATTCATCAGGTGGAGATTCAGGTGATGGAGCAGATTCATCAGGTGGAGAAGACGGAGATGAAGGTGAAGAAGATAGTTTGCAAAGCTTAGTAACCGAAGTCAGTGATATACTCATGTCCTGGACTTTCGACAGTTCAGCCGTAGAGGGTAGTTCCGTAGTAACGTTCGAGAGGGCCCTGAAGCAACTTACATCTATGTTTGATGTTGCTAGCGAAGGCGATATTCCAGAACTACAGATATGGAAGTATAGTATCGAAGAATCAAGTCTGTCAGAGTTGATAAGCAGTGTGTACTTGGGAACTGCACAAGAAAGAGCTGGTATTGAGGAGGTAGCTTATAGGTTTAATTCGATTCACACAGTCCTTGGAGATTTGTTAGAAATTCTTGGGGGTGGGGATTCTAGTGAAGGGGAAGAAGGAGGTGAAGGTAATGAGGGAGACGGAAGTGAAGGTGGTAGTGATGGTGGAGACGGAAGTGAAGGTGGTAGTGATGGTGGACGGTGAAGTGTACGGAAGCGGAAGTGAAGGTGGTAGTGATGGTGGAGACGGAAGTGAAGGTAGTGATGGAGAGGGTAATAGCGGAAAATTAACCAAGAAAGATAAGAAAGCAAAGGAAATGAACGCTAACAGAATATATCAGATAACAACGGAAATTACTTCAATCTTGAATGGGCTCGAATCCCCGAAGGACATAAGGCAAGACCAAATCAAGAAGATGAAGAAGTTTAATAAGGAACTTAAGAGCTTGCTGAAGGTTGAGGGCGCAAACTTAGGTGATGATGACGGTGCCGAACTAAAAGCTCTCGTACAACAACAAATGGACGGTTATGGTGAAGCACTAGAATTGATGACTACCTATTCAGAAGAGGTCTCCAGCAAAGTACAAATCATGAAGGAAATCTCTTTCTTCCAGGAAATCGTGAATTTCCTACAATATTCCCTAAATTTGTTTGATTCAGCTGATGGAAGCAGCAGTGGTGCTGATGAAGGTGAATCAGGAAGCGACACGGGAGGTGGATCGGATGGAGGTGACACAGGAGATGAATCAGGTGGAAGTGACACAGGGAGGGACATGAGAGGGAGGTGACACAGGACTGACACAGGAGGAGATGAATCGAGTGGCGGTGACACAGGAGATGAATCAGGTGGAAGTGACACAGGTGGAGGTGACACAGGAGGAGATGAATCGAGTGGCGGTGACACAGGAGATGAATCAGGTGGAAGTGACACAGGTGGAGGTGACACAGGAGGAGATGAATCGAGTGGAGATGACACAGGAGATGGAGATGGAGGTGAAGACTGCAGTATTGAAGATGGTGTGTTATGTGCCTCTGAGCAGTTGCTAGAAGCGCTAAAGCTCGCGGAAGCAGGAGGTTCAGACAGCGAAGACGACGCAGCAGGAGCAGACAGCGAAGACAGCGTTCAGACAGCGAAGACGACGCAGCAGAGGTTCAGACAGCGAAGACGATTCAGACAGCGAAGACGGCGCAGCAGGAGGTTCAGACAGCGAAGACGGCGCAGCAGGAGGTTCAGACAGCGAAGACGACGCAGCAGGAGGTTCAGACAGTGGAGGCGACGCAGCTGAAGGTGACAGCAGTGACAATGGTGCCAGCGGTATGGACAGCAGTACAACTTTCCGGTATCAAAACGTACGGGAAAAAATGCACGGTTTCTCCAAGGCAATGAGACACTTCAGCAAGGAAGAAAGCGGCTCCTTAGCTTCCGCCAAAACCCTGATTGAGGAAGCTAAAGTTATCGCTGAAAAATTTGTTACAGATCTGACGACCGAGTCAAGTAGCATGACGTCGTTCACTGATGTATCTGCACACTATACAGCACCAGAAGTAACTGTCACCACTTCCTAGTGACATAATCCGAAAGTGATATAGCAATATATCATATATATATATATATATATATATATATATATATATATATATATATATATATATATATATATATATAAATTGCATTTGATCATGAATTATTTTTCGTGTAATTGTTTTGTCAATTTCCATTTTATGTTTCTGCACACATTCAACCAAATTTAACCAGAATCAAGTTGTATCCTGCACTGCAATGGAAAATGTGCACTGAATACCTATGTAATACAAATCATCTCTGGAAAACAGATTAAAGACATCTTAATAAAGATATTCAGTGCAATCTTTTGTTTCGATCAGTCCTTTTTTTCTTTCAAGCTGTGTTTGCTATTTACCATATTAATTTTCTGCATTTACGATTGGGACGTGTATACAGGAACTAACATTATATTGAAAACAATTCCAATCCTGGATAGCAAAAATATAGGGAAATGCCAGTGCTCAGTTATATGAGGAAATGGAATCATGATATGCAGAAATGCACAAGTCCAGGCAAACAAAATAAGAAAATAATGATAAGAGAATTAAACATCATAATAGCGGCAATGATAATAACCATTCTTCTGCTTAAGAACAATCAACAAAAACAGGAATAAGGGGGAAAAAACACAGTATCACAATACTCTTCATGCCCGGACACGGAAATAATCACATAAGATGAAGTATCAAGCTATTTTCGTACCCATGAAGAGAAAAAAATAGATACGTCTATGTGTGCGTGTATGTATGTACACACACACACACACACACACACACTTATATATATAAATATTGCAAAAACTAAGTGCTGGCATCTGCAATGTTACACAGCCTCAAAAGAGGACGACGTTAAGCTCCGCCTCGTAGGATTGTCTGCCAGCCTGGAATCTGTTCCGACATTTCGTTATTTTTGTTGCTAGACACCCTTAGACGCCTACAAGGTTAAATGCCCCCGTGCTAAAGGGGAGATTTAACAAAGATTAAAAAGAAAAATGTGAGACAAATATTAGAGAAATGTAAAGAGAGGTATGTATTTTTTATTTTTATTTTTTTATTTGCTTACCTCTTCCTTTTACTTCCTTGAATATGTCGGAGGGAAGGTGTGTATAAAGAGAGCGAGACACTAAATGAGAACACTATAAAATGCCAAGAGAAAGATAGAAAAAAAAGAAGAAATATGCCTACCAATGGACTGTTTTTTTTTTTTTTACTTAAAAAAAAAAATCATAACTTTTTCTTTAACACTAATATCATCAGTGAATTAGGGACGCCACACTAGGATCGCTTCGAAATCCAATTCATAAAAAAAAAACATGCACACCAGATGACTTGGAAGCTGTTCGATGGGTCTTGGAGTTCGCACACACACAAACAATAAGAAAGAGAGAAAATAAATAAATAAATAAATAAAAAAATAAATAAATAAATAAATAAATAAATAAATAAATAAATAAATAGATAAATAAATAAATAAATAAATAAATAAATAAATAAATAAATAAATAAATAAATAAATAAATAAATAAATAAATAAATAAATAAATAAATAAATAAATAAATAATAAATAAATAAATAAATAAATAAATAAAGAAAGAAAGAAAAAGAAATAAAGAAAGAAGCATTGGAGATGTAAGAACATCGAAACCGGCAAAATAAACGAAAGAAAAAGAAAGAAAAAAAGTGAAAGAGAAAAAAACTATATTAGAATTTAGTTAAAAGCTGATGAAATATGGGCAATGAAAAAAAAATATATCTCCTTTTTCTGTCTCACAATTTAATCAAATGCGAATGAAAAAGTAACAATAATTGCTTTGGTTCAATTTGCTGGCTAGAATGCTTGAGCTTCAAAATCCTAAGAATTGAAAAGATGAATGTAAATAAACAAAACAGAAACGAAAATAATAAGAAAGCCTAAAAAAAAAAAAAAAAAAAAAAAAAGATATACAAACACACAAAAACAAACATAATTAACGACTGAAATTGTAGTGGTATATCATCCAAAGAAATGTATAAGCCTATTTCAAAATCCCTATCACATTACTGACATACTATCATTATCATTATCATCATCATTATCATAACGAACATTATATTTATTATCTCCGTTATTATCATTATATCATAATCTTGATCGATAACAATATGATTATTATCTTTTTGATTATTATCGTTATTACTATCATCATCATCACCATCATCATAATCATTAACATTACTATCGTCATGGTTATCATTGATATTTTTCCTGTCAATATTAACATTATTTTTATTATTGCTGCTTCTTTTATCATTATAATTGCTGTTCATATTCTCATTATATTTACTATCGTTGTTCTCGTAGTCTAATATCATCATTCCTAGTATAGTGTTAATATCATCATTACTAGTTTTATATGTAATATCACCGTGCTATTATTCTCATTACAATGTGTAATTATTACCTCATCATTATCTTTGTTATTATCAGTACTCTTCGTTTCTATAAACATTACCACTATTAAAACTTCTATTGCATTCAACAAGTACCATCATTATCAATACCAACATCACTTGCGTTTAATCCGGGTATCTTTAAAAATTGAGAAAGGAAAAGAAAATCACAGACCGATATCCCAAGGAAGATATTATTGAACACTTTTCCAACAAAATATAATCATTACTTTTGGCCGGTTTGTTAAAACTGTGCGAGGCTCGGCAGAGTGAATATTCATAGATACGGAGTTGCATAAACACAGAAAAAAATGCGTAGTTGTCTATCTACCTGATAGATATGCATTTATACATCGCTTTATCCAGTAGATATGCTTGTCTAGACTGGGAGATATGCATTTATTTAGTGTACATGCATGTCCGTATAGATGAGAATGTATTGGATCGGACCTCGTTC